CTCCATTCAATCATACGAATGTGGTAGCAGTGAATGTTAGTCTGAAAGATGACATGATATGAATGGGCGTGGAGGGACATAAATATAATAGTCATCATTGTGGTAATTATAAAAGGAAGAACACTATGGGTTCTCCAAATAGTCCTTCAAAATGTGAAGGCAGTTTTCATTATCAAAATGGTATGAAAGGACATTGGACTTGTGAATGTTATCGACCCAATAATTTATAAATCTTTCATCAAAAGACAAGAAGATAAAGTGATGGTACACTTGATCTTTCAAAGTGATGTTGAGGTGTGTCATGGAAATATGATGAATTTTAAAGCCATGACAATGTGCTTATAATGCAAATTTATGAAGTACATATAAATAATTAGTCCAATCCTTGAAGAGAATGTGACTTGTAATGAGTATCGTGAATGCTCGACCATTCTATAAGAGAATGAGTCCAGATGTGATAAAATCATTATGGGTTGGATATATGTCACAACTCACCTCTATGGAAGGTTTGAGAAAAAATGGTACATGTCACTTCTCATCTTTACGGGAGATTTGAGAGGAAATAAATTTTATTTGGCAGAAATGGCTAATTGTATTGTACGGTTTATATGTCACTATGGTATGAACTACCGAAAGGGCAAAAGAAAGAAATAGTTTTTGCCTATAAGGATTGTGGTCATTATTGTGTGGCAATACAAATTTGTCATTGGTTGTGTACCTATGGTACAATAAAAGTAAAGCAAGAAAGACGTCTTGCTTGTAATGATTTTGACCATGAAATAATAATATAATTTCCTCCTTGAAGGAGATGCTCACCATAGGGATGTTGTCATGCAATATGTGATAGTACACAAAATTAATTGCAAGCTCTAACGAGTTGTACTATTATTAGAGGAATAATATTGGGGTTGTAGTAAGTCTCAAAAGAAAATTTTTTAAGTTTCGGATGAATGAAAATAAATATTGAGACTATAAATCACTACAACCGAAGAGGGTTATAATGTTTATGTAAAAT